TCAGTGAGTGTCGTGTTTAGGTACCTGCCTCCTCTGATCGCATGAGAAAGGTGTTTTTACAAACCTTTTTTCTAGTTTTGTTGCGGCGAACCCACCTCCTTTGCTGAGATTATCAATGAGAAGACAAGCTCACTGACAAACACACAAACTCACTACAGACAAGCTCACTGATACACACACAAGTTCACTACAGACAAGTTCACTGACACACACACACTCACTACAGAAAAGCTCACTGACACACACAAGCTCGCTACAGAAAGCTCACTGGCACACACACAAGCTCACTACAGACAAGCTTACTGACACACACACACAAGCTCACTACAGACAAGCTTACTGACACACACACAAGCTCACTACAGACAAGCTTACCGACACACACACAGGCTCACTGACACACACAAGCTCACTGACATACATGCTCACTACAGACAAGCTCACTAATACACATTCTCACAACAGACAAGTTCACTAAAACACACACAAGTTCACTCACTAGCAGTCCCATACACATGCAAGATCACTCTGTCATGCTAAGAATTGTAAGCCCACCTTTCACTGAAAACTGTGGCTGGGGGAGAACTGGGAGGCCATTTCCAGGCCTGTTCCTTCAGCAAGGTCCTCTGCTGGAGAGTGGGGGCAGAGCTTTGTGAGTGGGCAGAGCTTCCATGTGGGGGTGGAGCTTATGTAAGGGGAGGAACCTTCCATTCAGGGGCAGAGCTTGTGTGCCAAAGAAGAACATAGAGTGGGCCCTGGTGCAAAAATAGTTTTGGCCCCTGAAGACACATGCCCATCGGGTGGCTCTAAGTGCACGGGCTATTCGATGGGCCCGGTGTAACTGTAACACTGAGCCTTACTTATTACAGGCGAGACACCTTTTCACGGAAACTGGAAAACCTTTTCCGGAGATGCAAGATAATTTTTGTGGTGTTTAGAAGGGGCTCTCTGCTGAAGCGTGTGTGTAGAGGAGTCTGCTTATGGTGTACTATGTGTAACTAGAGGCTGTAGTGTGAGCACATGCTCATATATAGGAGCTTTGGAGATTTTGTGTGTGCTGAAATGGCCTGTAATGTTTGTGTGTGTGCATCTAGGGGCTGAAGTGTGACTGTATGTGTATTGGGGTTGCATTGTGTGCTTATCAAGGAGCTGTAGTGTGATGTGTATTGTATATACATATATATATATATAAATGAGATTCAGTGTGTAATGGGGTGAAGCATGTCTGTTTGTATGTGTGTGTGGGGGTGAATGTATGTGGGGATGAAGAGTGTATGTGGGTGAAGAGATAGTGTATGTAAGGGGTGCACTGTGTGTGTATGCAAAGGTGTACTCTGTGTTGGTGGGAGTGTACTGTATGTGGGGGGTTCACTGTCTGTGAGGGTGTACTGTGTTCAGGGGGTGTAGAGAGTGGGATAGGGAAGGGCTTTACAATTTTTACTTTAATAATTGTTTTAAAAAAAAAAGTATTTAATAATTGTTTTTAAAAATATTCCCCTTTCCCTGATCTTACCTTGCCGGGAGGGGGTGGCGCAATCAGATCCGTGGTGGTTGAGAAGGCTGTCTATTCATCAGGTACAGGGGAGGTCACGAGATGAGAGATATCTCTCTTGGAGCTCAAGCACTTGCACAGACTGACCCATACAGACCCACAGACCGAGCCATACAAACCCACAGACTGACCCATTCAAACCCACAGACTGATCTCCCCACACAAGGACTGACCCATACACATGCACACAGACTAACCCATACACACACAGACTGCCCCCCACACACACAGACTGTTCCATACACACACAGATTGACCCCCACACAGACTGACCCATACACACACACATACTGCCCCCACCACACATAGACTGACCCCCCACACACAGACTGACCCCCCACAGACTGACCCTTACACACACTTACTGCCCCCCACCACACACACAGACTGATCCACACACAGACTGACACCCCACACAGACTGCCCCCACACACACAGACGACCCATACACACACAACTGACCCCATACACACAGCTTGCCCCCACACACACAGACTGACCCCACACACAGACTGCCCCATACACACACAGACAAGCCCCACACACACAGACTGACCCTTACACAAACACACACACACACACAGACTAACCCATACACACACAGACTGCCCCCCACACACACAGACTGACCCCCCACACAGACTGCCCCATACACAGCATGTGGGAATACAGCACAGTGCCCCCACTGGCAGCATGTGGGAATACAGCCCAGCGCCCCATCTGGCAGCATGTGGGAATACATCACAGCGCCCCCTCTGGCAGCATGTGGGAATACATCACAGCGTCCCCTCTGTCAGCATGTGGGAATACAGCACAGCGCCCCCTCTGGCAGCATGTGGGAATACAGCACATCGCCCCCTCTGGCAGCATGTGAGAATACAGCACAGTGTCCCCTCTGGCAGCATGTGGGAACTTCCACCTAGGATTCACTGCTCTCCATATCCTAGGGTTGAGGGTTTTTTTCATAAAAACTGAGCCATCTACTGTTCCTTCTTGTCCATATTCCTCATTTTTCATCAGGTTGGCTACGTCTCTGAGGCTGCCCCTGAAAGCCTTGTCTGGACGCCATCTTTCGGCTGGTGGGAACATTTTCCCCTGAGTAAATAACTGCATCACTTTGTAACTGCTACTCATTCAATATATGTGATCAGTTTTCAGTCTATAAAATTTTTTTTTAAAAAAAGGAGAAATATAACAACAAGCACAAGATTAACAGACTATGAAAATCACATTTAGTTCTTGTGGCCAGTGAGTTTGCATTGTTATTCGTTCTCCGGTATCGCTCTCGTAGATTTGAAAAGTGCACTTTTTCCTCTTTTACCAAAAGTTACAATAAAGTTCAGCTTTTGTCTAAATCCAGCTGAACATATATCTGAAACAAATAGGATCTCCAGGCAGAAAAATAACACTTAGCGAATATCATTCACGCAGTACAAACAGATTGTCACTGTTATAAAGCCGCAACTTGTTGTCAAGGCAACGGAGGCAGGCTTTTTAATTTCATATTATCTCTTCATTAAGGTGAGGAAAAAAGACTTGGAGTAAACAATCTAATTATATTCTGCACAGAACATTAACATTAGCACATAGAGAAGAGGAAATGCAGCGTACCAGCTAATTGTACACTCACAATGTTATAGAAAGTAATATTACACAGTTTTCTCGTTGCTGCATACGGGTCCCGGCCCAACAAGATGGATCACCCAGAAAATAAATAGAAAAACTACTTTGTGGGAGGGAGGATGTAAACAGACAACATCTTTATTTACAAAAGGGAGATTTGTTAGGAATTTGGAGTTAAAGGTGCACTATAGTCACCAGCACCACTGCAGCGTAATGTCGTGGTTCTTGTGTCTATAGCCTGCCCCTGCATGAGTTTTAATGCAGTGTTTACATTACTGCCTAGGACCACTTCTAGTGGCAATCACTCAGCCAGCCATTAGATGTGCTTCCTGTGTCAGTGCTGCACTGTGTGCAGCGCTACAGTGAACATCTCTAGCCTATGCATGGAGACACTGAATGTTCCACATAGAGATGCATTGATTCAATACATCTCTATGAGAAGAAGCTGATTGTCATAGTGCTGAGTTGTGCCCGTGCATGCGCAATAGCCTCCCAATGCTTTATGTATGCAAAAAGGCAATTAGATTTTCCAAACTACAAAATGAGAAAGTAATAGCCAAAGAGAGCAAAACCAACACAAAAACTTTTTAAGTAGATAAATTATTAAAAAAAAAAAAATACAAAAATGGAAGTACACTAAAAAAACAGGATGGAGGTGTTAGTTAATGAAGACAAAGAAAAGGCAGACATTTTCAATAACTATTTCTCCTCAGTATAAATTATGGAAAAACTTATGGCTGGAGATATGTAAACGATTTCTGCAAAAAACCTGCAGAAAACTTGTGAGTGGATGACTCAAGACAAGGTGCTGCAGCAACTAAAGAAAGTTAATATTAACAAAGCACCAGGGCCTGACGGTATTCACCCACGAGTAGTTAAGGAACTGAGTGTGGAAATAAGTGTGTAGCAGACTCATTCCCTTTCTGTTCGGTTGTTCATACCACCTTGTTCGTTTCCTGAATGGATGATGGGTGTTCGCCCTTTTATACCCCCCTAACTCTGACCACCTGTTAACCACAAACAAGCAATTAAGTTGAGTGCTTTCCCTGGATGGCTGCCATTCGTATAACCGAACACACATCCTCCAGTGAATGGCCTTTTGTCTCCCGAACACAGGCAGCGGTACTAGGTCATTGAACATCTGGAACTCTTTTTGGCCACTCGATCCCACAAACCCGGACAAAGATTGTATCGCTGCCCGTCCCACTTCCAACACAACCAACTAGACAAATGTCATTCAGGAGATAGGATCTACTGACTGGCTATGTTTTTGCGGGGTTTTATGTATGTTTCATGTTGATTTCTGTAAATGAGCGATAATTGAGTTACTAAGTTTTGATTCAATAATCTCCCAGACACAGGGACGCCTGGGAGGGGTTGTGTCAGGGCCGGCGCGTCCATAAGGCGGCACAGGCGGCCGCCTTAGGGCGCACGGGCTCTGGGGGCGCAATATTTCAGTGACCGGCAGGAGGGAAGCTCTCCCTCCTGCCAGGCCACCATCTCGACCCCCGGCGCGGCAGTGCTGTGAACAGGCGCGGCGAGGGAGCTCTAATCTCCACCCTCTGCTCCCTCGCGCGCTGCCTGCTGATGCCGCGGGAGCCGGAATATGACGTCATCAACCCGGCTCCCGCGGCATCAGTAGGCAGCCCGCAAGGGAGCAGAGGGTGGAGATTAGAGCTCCCTCGCCGCGCCTGTTCACAGCACTGCCGCACGCCTCCCAGCAGCCCCAGGGACCGATCCATAATCCACACCAGCTCTCCAGGTAGGGAGGCTGGGTGGAAAATATGTATTTATAAAATAATTAGTGAATGCATGTGATGTGTGTCTGTGAGTGACTGTGTGTGTGTGTGTGTCTGTGTCTGTGAGTGACTGTGTGACAGTGTGTGTGTCTGTGAGTGACAGTGTGTGTGTCTGTGAGTGACAGTGTGTGTCTGTGTGTGTGTCTGTGAGTGACAGTGTGTGTGTGTCTGTGAGTGACTGTGTGTGTGTGTCTGTGAGTGACAGTGTGTGTCTGTGTGTGTGTGTCTGTGGAGTGATGTGTGTGTGTGTCTGTGGAGTGACAGTGTGTGTGTGTGTGTGTGTGTCTGTGAGTGACAGTGTGTGTGTGTCTGTGGAGTGACAGTGTGTGTGTCTGTGAGTGACTGTGTGTGTGTGTGTGTCTGTGGGAGTGACAGTGTGTGTGTGTGTCTGACAGGGTGTGGGTCTGTGAGTGACTGTGTGTGTGTCTGTGAGTGACAGTGTGTGTGTCTGTGAGTGACTGTGTGTGTGTGTGTGTGTCTGTGAGTGACAGTGTGTGTGTGTCTGTGAGTGACAGAGTGTGTGTGTCTGTGAGCGACAGTGTGTGTGAGTGACAGTGTGTGTGTGACAATGTGTGTGTCTGTGAGTGACAGTGTGTGTGAGTGACAAAGTGTGTGCGTCTGTGAGTGACAGTGTGTGTGAGTGACAAAGTGTGTACGTCTGTGAGTGACAGTGTGTGTGAGTGACAAAGTGTGTACGTCTGTGAGTGTAAGTGACAAAGTGTGTGTAAGTGACAAAGTGTGTGTGTCTGTGAGTGACAGTGTGTGTGTCTGTGAGTGATTGTATGAGTGTGTGTGCGAGTGTATGAGTGTGTCTGTCTGTCAAATCAGTGAGAGTATGTTTGTCATTGAGTCTGTGTGTGACTATCAGTGTGTCTGTCAATGAGTGTCAATCAGTGTGGGTCTGTCAGTGTCAATGAATGAGTGTGTGTCAGATCAATGAGTCTGTGTCTGTCAGTGACGTCTGTGTGTTTGTCATTGAGTGTGTGACTGTCAGTGTGTACAGAGTGTAGCGGAGCAGAGCGCGGTACAGGAACTTCTGTTTCCTGTACCTGGCCAGACTGACAGGAGGTGCTCACAGAGAGAGCACTCCCTGTCAGTCCGGCCGGGTACAGAAAACTGAAGCTCTTTTAGGGGATCTGCTCCACTCGGCAATGCAACAATAGAGGTAGGAGGCACACCAGGAAGGGGAGTGTGACCACTAAAGGGGTGTGGGGTGCACCAAGGGACAGGGAGGGAATGGGAGAGAAACACCAAGAGACAGGGAAAAGAGGGGGGAGGGGAGAAGAACACTAAGGGACAGGGAAGGGAAGGGACTACTAATGGTCAGGGAGAGGGGCTGGTTAAGAGGCACATAGGTGAAGATGTTTTTTTTCGGGGGGGGTGCGGGGGGGCGGAAAAAGGCATCTTCGCCTATGTACCTAAAAATCCAAGCACCGGCCCTGGGTTGTGTTGTTTTGAATGGAGACCTCGTGCTGGGTGTCTGTGCATAAAAGGCTGAGTTTGTGCTGCATAAATCAGTTGTACTCCCAGAACTGTGTGTAGTCCAGTTACTGGGGAGGAGGAGAGCTATTCAATCCACAGCACGTTGTTCCAGAGTTCCTGTCTTAATGGATCCAGTGGAGGAGAGTCCTGGTCAGGACTAGCGATTCTCTACAAAGGGAACCTCTGTTTTTAATCTTTCAAGATTCTTTTCTTTCAGGAATTGTACCAGAAGATTGAAGGAAGGCAGATGTGGTTCCTATATTCAAAAAGGGTTCAAAATCCTTGCCTAGAAATGATAGACCTGTGAGATTAACTTCTGTGGCTGGGAAAGGATTCAAAGGTTATTAAGGGATAATATCCAAGAATTTATTAAGAAGAATGTGGTTATCAGCAAAAATCGACATGGTTTTATGAAACATACGTCATGCGAAACTAAATTAATTATAGTCTACGAAGAAATAAGCATAAGTACAGATCAGGGTGTTGCAGTGAATGTGATCTACTTAGATTTTGCCAAGGCGTTTGACATGATTCCACATAATAGGTTGGTCTTCAAAATCAAAGAAATTGGTCTAGAAGATGAAAATTCTTGTTCTTGGGTAGAACATTGGCTTAAAAATAGAGTACAAAGAGTTGTCATTTTTATGATGGACAAAAGTGGTAAGTGGTGTCCCTCAGGGTTCTGTTTTGGGACCGCTTCTATATAACACATTTATAAATGATCTTGAAATAGGCATTGAAAGCCATGTTTCAGTGTTTGCAGATGACACAAAACTTTGTAAAGTAATAAAATGTGAGCAGGATATTGCTTTGCTGCAGAGGGATTTGGATCGATTGGGGGACTGGGCACTAAAATGGCAGATGAAATTTAATGTAGAGAAATGCAAAGTTATGCACTTCAGGGTCAAGAATGCACAAGCAACTTACACATTAAATGGTAGTGAATTAGGGGTA